TTGATGATCTCAGAGGTCCCTTCCAACCCAGCTGATTCTATGATTCTGTGATTCCTTCTTTTCCAAAGGATAAGTAAGCACAGGACAAGCACATTAGAATGCTCCTGAGGATTTCTGCAGCTCAGACTTCCTGAGCCTGAAGTGATATCCTGAAATAGAAAGCCATGAAAAATTAACTCAGTATGTTGGTTTGGAATGTTTTCAAATAATCTGAAGACAATGGCTACATGATGATAGTAGTGGCTACACAGAAGTTGTAGATAGTGAGAAAAAGAAGCCTTTACATTTGAGGTATAAAGTTTGTTGGGTTTTTTCTTTTTAAGAGTATAGCATGGAGATGGATTTTAGTCAGAGCCATGATCTGATTTCATGGTTAAGAGATCATGAATTGTAACCCACTCGCTGTGTTTGCTGCTTATGTCACTGTCTCAGAATAGGATATCCCTTATCTGAATTTAAAGTTTCCATTTAGAACTTAATTGGAATTAATTGTGACATTGTATTTCTTTGCTTCATGCAAAAGTCTCTTCACTGCCATACTGCAGGAAAGCATCTTTGTGCATCTTACACTTTAAACTTCAGTCCTTTGCAGACCTTGATAAGTGTAATTTTCACATATACTGTTTCACTTTGCAAGTAGACTTGTGTTTTTGAAAGGAAGGAACATGAGCAGAATTTATGCAGAAACTTCATTGTTGTATTGCAGAATGGAACAACAGAAGAAGTTACATCAGAGGAGGAGGAAGAAGAAGATATGGGTGAAGTATGTCTATATATGAAATTGTCCTAATCCAGTAGAATTTTGGCATTTTGCTCTGCAGTGGTTGGCTAATAATTAAGCCAAACAGTAAAATGTAACCTCCCTAGAGTTCAACAGAAAAGATATTTAAAAATTTGGATGTTTACCTGAATGTCAGCTTTCACTTCAACCACAAAACTAGTGAAATTTTCTTCTTAAACCTAGATCTCAGCTGTGAGGTTACTTGGATACAGAGAATTGGACATCTGTTTGTGCTTTAGTCAAACAATTCATAACATTGTGTGCCAAAGCAGTAAGTTTTTGCATTGTTAACTCCTATTTCAAGCAGCATGTGAACTGGCTCTGATACAGTTGGAAGTGTCTCCCAAATTGAAGCAGACTGGCTGAGTAAATCAGTTTGCTGACTCATTAAACAGGTGAGCTAGTTTTTAACTCTGATACATTGAAGGAAATGGAAGGACATCCAAACGGACACACTGAACATTTTTTGTCACTGTCTGGCAACGTGGTGCTCCTTTTAATGAGCTTTTTAGTAAGAACTACCCTTTTTGCTTACTTCTGCTACCTGTTAGAATAGCTCCAAATGCTTGCTTTTTAAACCACTTTAAATAGCATTACTGTAGCAGAACTGTTCTGAGTACTTCAGATTTAGGTTTTTAGTGAAGGTGTAGTAAGAATAAACAACTCTTTCTCCGAATAAAAGGTCTTCCTTTAGAAATGACCTAAATGTTACCAAGTTCTGGAATTAATTTGAAGCCACCTTGTTTACACCATATTTAGTCTGATCCAGAACACATTTGCTGGAGCTGGTGTTTCTGTAAAGGTGGTGGGAACACCTGCTGACACAAGGCTCTCGTTGCTTGCAGACTTCTAGACTCTGTTTGGGTTACTTTGCACCAAAAAAAATTGCCTACTGTTATTTATAAGCTGTCAGGTGGCTTTGTGTGTGGCAGTGATATCTTCAACTTGTGACTAGTCCAAGTTGTGAATGGGAATGCAGCCGATTCCTGGGGCTCTGTCATTGCTTTGAGAAACACGAGCATTCTGAAGAATACTCGGTCTGTGGCAGTGGAAGGAAACAGTGTTGTCAAGGGCACCAGAGAGGTGGTTCTCATGCTGTAGGACATCCCTGGCTTTGGGTTTATGGCCAGGTTTTCCTGCCATGCAAACAGGTGGTGTGTGAAGAGTAGCCCCAGTGTGGCAGAGCACTGCATGTTGGAGTGTGTCTGACAGTTGTGTAACCAGAGCTTGCTGGGGTGGCTGCTGGAGTGCTTCCTTTTTGCATCCTTCCCCTCCTCTCCACAACTAGCACTTGAGTCACCTCCCAGGCAGTTGCCTGAAGCTCAGAGTGCTCCTCTGCAACAGGGTGACCCCATGTCAGAGCACAGAGCAGAGGATTTCTCAGTGTCTTAGTCTAGAACTCAGAACTGCAATGTTGCTTGTATGATCAAGAATGCTTGACCACAGCGTTTTGTGTCCCAATTCCAAAATTCCTACATCTGATCTTTAGCTGAAATGTTCACCTTGAGTAAAGTACACATAGTTTTCTAATATTTAACTTTCTTTAGGGACTGCTGCAGCCCTACCAGATCTGTTAATAACTGTGTGCCAGAAGTGTAGAGTAGATAGGATTTGAACTGAAAAGAGAGGTGCTTTTAGAAACATCTTGGAGCCACCCCAGCTTCAGGTACTTTTGGATTCTCAAGCCCTGTTTTCTACCTACTTTAGTGGGCTAATGCACTACAGTCCTGACTTCGTGCAGAGGTTTTATTGTGCTTGTTTCTGTGACCAGAGACGTGTTGTGAATTTGGGTTTTGTTTGTAGTGTGAGGGCTCCCTACACTTCCAGTTTTGACTGAGAATGAAGTTAGAACAAAATAGAAATGGCATCCAGCAATCACAAACATGTAGTGCTGTGCAGTATGTGACTGTATTCCAAGTGCTCTTGGAGAGGGTTTCATTGAATAAAGAGCACAGTGCAGTTATTTACAATTAACTTTTCCTCTATCCTGTAGGACATTGAGGATCTGGATCACTATGATATGAAGGAGGAGGAACCAGTTGATGGGAAGAAGTCTGAGGATGAAGGCATCGAAAAAGAAAACCTTGCAATCTTAGAAAAAATCAGAAAAAATCAAAGGCAAGATCACTTAAATGTGAGTTAATGATTCCATCCTAACTGCAATACTTTGCAATACTTCTGTGTAATATTTCTGACTCTAAAACAGAGATGGTTTTCAGCAAATCCAGCCCACTGCTATGAATCTACAAGTAAATTAACCTGTACCTGACTTTAACTGCTTGTGTCATTTCCAGAGGTATCTCTTTGGTTGTCCCTCTGTCTCTTGCTCGGTGCCTTTGTTTTGAACAGCATCCTCCTTGCAGAATCAGCAGGAGGCACAGAGGCTGTGAGCATGGCTGCTGTTGCTGAGCCCTTATTAAAGTAGAAAAAACCCCCATGTTTAAAACTGACTACATTAGAAATCATGGGACCCAGGAATTTGTGCCTTAAATACATTTTATGCATGAATTTATTTTTCAGTAATATCTGTGCCACATGGAAATTACTGAAGGGTGGTGGGTTGGTTTGGTTTTGGTTTCTTTTTAATGCCAGGTGTGAAGCAAGGGGCCTTCAGCAGCTCTGCAGCTTTGTTATCAGTTTTTTTGAGGGATCTTACCAGCAGGCAGTTGTAAAAAAGGTTTGTTTTTCAGAGGTTTAGAAATGTTTTGTCACAAGTGCCAAGTTCCAGAGACACTTCTGCTTCTCAAAAGTGCACGTAGGAGGGAGTGATGATGTCATACAACCTTAATTTTATTTAACCTGGCTCCCAAAGAAATCAAAACTTCTGTTTCATAGAGGCTTAAAATGTGTAAAGCAGGAAATTCGATACTTCTGTTTCAGCCAAGGGGTTTTAAGATTTTTATAAGTCACCTGTACAGCGAGAAAGTGCCTGAACTGGTGCCTCCCACTGTGTGAGCCCAGAGGGTTTCCTGTGTTGTTTGGCAAGTGAGCAGACATGTAAATCATGTCCAGACACAAGCTGTGCTGCTCCTCATTCAGCCAGTAGTTGAAGATGTGAGCAGTAGTGAGGTGCAGGGAAGGGACCTGTAAATATTTATTTAGGAAAGGAATAAGATTTAGGATTGGTGTGTAAGGAACACACCTGCATTTTTGTTCTAGTTCTTATACTTGATGATTTTTCCAGCAAATATCTCCTAAAAAGCCTAAAATGTATTAAAGAATTATATTAGATTCAAGAAAATTGATGTTGTAAACCTCTTTTCATTTGTAGTGAGAACTATATAGGAAGTGCTTGCCTCTAGCCAAACCAATCCACTTTTAATATTGGGTGCACTCCTGATAGATCCAGTTATCATAGGAATTCAGGGAAAAGACTCCTTTAGTTAGCAGCATCTTGACTATTTCTTGTCATGAATTACTGAGTCTTCTAATATAGAAGAAAAAGTACTTCCTCTTGGTTACTGACACTTTACCAGGGGAAAGAGTTTCAGTGTGTAGCCACCTGCTTTTGAAAGGAAATGAAGCAGAAATGCTCCTGAGTTCCTCAGCTGCCAGTGTTCTGCTGCTGTCCCTGTGCTGTTTGAATATGACTTGACTGCAAACCTGTCAAAAGTACCTGAGACTTATGTTCTGCAGAAATGGCAGCGTGAGGTAACTGGCTAAAGGAAACTGCTCTGATTTGTGTGTGAATTCAGTAGTTACCTATCAGATGGTCTGAAGGGAGTGCACAGTAATGATGACCCCTGAGGGGAAAAATAACAATCAACCAACCAACCAAAAAAACCCCAACCAAATAACCCCACAACACCTAAACCTGACCAGTATTTCATTACTTAAAAACAGGTAAGCATAAGGTGCCAAACTGCATTTGCTGTGTAGTCTGTTTTTGAGACTTGACTAACTATAAATGCAACAGTCATTTATTGCTTTTGTTTAAACTTAAATGTTCACAGTTTGAGAAGATGCCTATTGAATTTCTGTGTATTTCTGTGTTTATAACTCAGATCTAGTGGTAAAGACTCCTTATTTATTCAAGAAACTAAATTCTCTTGCAGCCTGAAAGGCATGACCTGCTTTACCATCATCTAAAATTTGGTAGAACTGAAAGAAGGTTTTTGTAGTGTCAGCATTCTTAGTGCAGGAAGCCTCTTAAAACTGCAGATTTTCTTTTGCTGTCTGTTCTTTCCAATTTGGCAAATATTGCCTTTCCTTTTGCTTTTTCTCCCCTTCCACGTTTAGTGGAGCTGAAATGAACACTGCTGGTTTTCTGTTTGACAACAGCAGACTCAACTTACATAATAGCTGCTTCTCATGCCAAGACACTCTCGTTGATGCTGGTGCATAAACAAGGTCAGCTGAGTACAGGGAACAGGGTATTCAACTGCTGCTGAGGAACTGTGGTGTTTTTGTGGGTCACCAGAAATAGCTGCGCTGCTGAAATAATTTCTCGAAGGACTTGTGAGGGTTTACTCTTAAATGCTGTGGAACAGAAGATGATAGCTGTGCTACTGACCTGGGAAGGAGCTCACCTAGTAGCACTTCAGTGGCCTTTCGTGCTGCCAGAACGTGGGACTTCTATTTAATAGAAGGTGTTAACTGTGCCCTGAGAGAGCAGAAGTTTGCTCGGTATCCTGACACAGCAAAACTTCAGTCTGTACAGCCCTCACAGGTGGGTTTCTTCAAGGACAGAATGAGTGTCACAAACTTAAATGCAGTGGCTAAACACAGTCTGTTCCCTGCACAAACCAGCAGCTTTTTTGGGGTACTCTGTTTCCCCAGCAGAGATCAGTAAAACGAACCCAAGGCGTTTCCGTGCCGCTGGTTGGAAGAGGGAATGGGAAGGCTGATGGAGGCTTTGGCTGGTGCCCAGTGCAGCCAGAAGACAGTTCCTTCACATGTTCTTTGGCCCAAAGCCAGGGGTTGTCCTCTCTCCCCTTGCTGCAGCACAGGCTGAAGTTATGGTTTGTGCTAAAGGCTTTTCCTTAGGAAAGCAGTGCATGCAGCCCCATCATCATTTATTTCTAACAGGTTAAAGACGTTTTTCTGCTTCTCAAGACTTTTGTCATAGGAGACTTTAGAGTTTGTATTATACAAGTTAAGCATGTCTATCTACTAATTTTGTAAATGAGTTCTCTTCCTTGGCAGTATCCCTAATCCCATTCTTCTTGCTGGCATCAGGAAATAAATTTGGCTTGTGGTACAGTTTGTAACTTGGAGCAAGAATTAATCCTCCTCTTAACATTGTAATAACTTTAAAGAACCACTTGCTTAGAGTTAAAAGAGGTCTTTGAACCGGAATCATTAACATCAAATATTTAACAACTTGCTGCTGCTTGCTTTTCAGAGGTCTCTCCCCACATAGTCATTTTAGAGATTAATCCCTTTCTTATTTAGATAATGCTATTAGCTTTTCCCATTTCATACTGAGGAGTTTATGCACTTTCCTTTAGAAGTCTCAAATGTCTCTACTTTTGTCTTCAGATTTTATGAAGTCTAAGGTGTCACTTTTATTTTCATTCTAATCCTTGAAGTAAGTGTGAATCTACTGTAACTTCCAGGAATGAATGTACACTGCACAAATACTGCAAAAGTTCTGGGACAATAGAGCATCTCATGTTCTTTAGCTCTCTTTGGGTCTCTTGAAATTTTATTTTGTTATCTTGGAGAAGTTTCTGTGTTTTGTTTGAGCAGGTGATTTTTGGTCTCGTGGCTAAATTATCTATAATATTAATATATTACAGATATTAATAATAATTAATGTCTATAATGTATTGTGAGATGGTTTCCTGTAGTGCTTTGATGTGTGACAGTACTTTTCAGATAGAAAACATTCTGGTCTTGGGATCTAAAACTGCAATGAACTGGACCTCCTACCTCATGTAACCTGGGGAGGGGGGCAGACTGTGGTTGTGTTTTGAGGACTGGAAGGGGAAAAGAAAAACCTCCTGTCTCTGGAGGCCCAGTGCAGACAGAGCTGGGCAGTGGCAAGTGCTGGCCCAGCTGCTGCACTGCTCAAGTGTCACCTTTCTGACAGTGGCAGAGGCACATCCTGAAAGGGAGGAGTTTGAGAACAGGACAAGCTTGTGGTGATGCATCTCATTAATACTATTTCTGTCCCCCAGTCTTGGCTCTGGGAATTCCTGCACCAGGTATTTCTGGTACTTGCAGCTCTCAGCAGTTGGCATGTTGTCCACAAAGATGTTTCCCTCCTGCAGCAGGGATTTCTCCAGCTTACCTGCCCCTTCTTCTGGAGAACCACAGATATGCTTGTACAGGAGAGGATGATCAAGTGAGGCTTTTTGTGCCTATTTGATTATTTAATAGGAAAAAAAAAATCACTTGAGTCTTGTCTGGCAGCTCTATTAACTAATTCAGATGAAATGGCATCAGCCCCATGTGACAGATACCTGTCAGATCCCATGATTGATCACTTGTTCCCAAGACAGTTGCAACCATAAATCTTGATCTCCCAAGTGCAGAAATGGTAACTTGAACTCTCTTGGAGTGTCAAGTCCCATTTTTCCAGAAGGATACTCTGTTATTTATATCTGAATTCAGTCTTGGGAATTATAACTTGTATATAGCAAGTTACTGAACGAGTTTTTAATTTTAGTGCTTTTATAGTCAAAACTTGACCTGCCTGCTCTATATCATACAATGATATGATGCAAGTAGTACTTTCTTCTAAACTGCACTTTAACAGTAGCTATAAAACCCAAAAGTGATTCCAGAATGAAGATGTGTATTTTAGAGCAGTGGTGGTTGGTGTTACCATAAGTTACCTTCCTCTTCCAGCTTTCTCCAAGTTGTTCAGAGTTAGTTCAGAGCAAGTAAAATAAGCTCCTGTGCTAAACTGCTGAGGTTAAGCTTGCTATCCTCTTTCTCCTAATTGTAGATTGCTGGTTTGCAGTCTATGGATTCTTTAGAGTAGCAACTGTAACTATATTTAATACTGCTATGTAGAGTGGGCAGCCCAACTAGAAGGTCCTAGGAAAAAAGGGTGAAAAACAGTATTATAGACCAGGTCTACTGAGGCTACTTACACACACTAAAACTGACTTCATTTTTAATACGACTTCATTTTATCAGCATTTATAATGGCAGTCAGGGGTATGGGGGTGTGTTAAGTTTTGGGGTTTAAATGTCTACAGTAGAGAAGTTAATCACACTTTGATATGCCAAGATGACCTTCCAAAGTTATGTATAGAAATTCAGTAGTTTAACTTGATGGAAATAAAGATGCAGTGAGGAAACTAGTTTTCCACAGGATGGTTTTGACCATCTAGCTTGTTTTTAAATTGCCTGTATACAGAGGTTGATGTTCTGTGAAAAATGTAAGAAAACTCCTTCTTTCAGTAAGAAATACAGCAGAAGGGGCAAGGATATTGCACAGCTCTGCACAGAAGAAAACCAGAACCTTGACACTTCTCCATGAAGTTTTCCTGCAGACTCAACACATTGAGTCTCAGCCTTGACACTCACAAACAACAACTGTAGAAGGAATGGTGATTAACATGTTGTGTTAACTTGTCTAATGCTTCTTTTTCATCTCTCTGTGAATAGTGGGCATAAATAGTAGTAATATGCTAATAATGTATATAAACAAACTTTTTCCATAAAATTGCATGTACTTGTGTTATAGAAAGAGGAATCCCTTCATCTGATACTGCTCTATCGAGAAGGGCTTCAGTAAACTGAGAAGTGACTGGTCTGGTGCACTGTCTTTATGTAGCTTTTGTTGAATCACATGAAAGGAGTTGCCTGTTATTTGCATATTTAATTCCAAAGTTCATTTTTCATACTGGTCCATTAAGAAAAACTAGTGGAATTTCAGTAATCTGCATAATTCTATCCAGTGGCATATGAAAATGAATAGGCTTTAAAGAATAGTCTACAGACTCTAGTGTGCAGCTAAGCATATTCTGTGATGCTGCTGCACAGGGAAGACAGGAGTATGTGGAGGCTTTAGCATCAAGCAACTGTTAATAAGAATTAAATATCAGTAAGTGATAATTTGGTTCTACAATTAAGACCTTGTAGAATATAAAACATCACTGATGACTTCAGGTGAATAGGATGATGGTATAGGTATTAGGCAATGGTCACAGCTGTTTCATATTCCTCCAGAAATACTTCTCTGGCATTCTGTCCAAAAAGTATTTGTTTGTAGGTTGTTTGCTGATGAAAGCCCAAGTGTCACAGCTTTGGGGCTCGGGGTGATACCTACCTTACCTCATTTGGAGTCCTCATTCCTTTTCTGTGTTTTAAATCTTGTAATGCTACCTTGTATCTCTGTTTTTCAAAAATCTTGAACCTAAAATGATATTTTGGATGGAATATATAACAGAGAAATCAGGTAATATCTAAAGTTCAGTATCAGAATCCATCCTGTTAGCTTTGGCATTGAATTGGAGAGAGTAATCTAGGTACTTCTGATGATCATGTTGTTCAAGATAAGCCCTTCAACTTTGTATGAGGAAAAGGTTCTGTCCTCACTTTAAAGCCCAGAAGATTTGAGGCAAAACTGAATACCAGGGTCATGGAAATGTGAGCACTGGTGATGTGTGCAGAACACATCAGTGCAGCAGCAGCTGCTGGAAGGAGACATCAGTTACTGGGTGGCTGCTGTGTTCATTAGTGTGTCAGTAGCTGGGGGATTTTAGAGCCAATCCTATATTTTATATGCATACCACTTAAAGTTGGTCTCCTTTTTTTCTTTTTTTTTTTTTTCTTTTATCCCATATTTTTCTTTCCCTTTAGCACTGTATCTCAGGCTGAAATACTGGGTTCAGAAACTGGGTGCTAGGTTTTCTATCACTTCAAGGTGCTGAGAAAACAGAAAAGACCTACAAAAAAAAAAAAAAAAAAAAAAAAAAACAACAAAAAAACCAAAGACGTTTCTGGCCTGTGACAAATCACAAAAAGTATTTTGAGGTTTACTTACCTTGGTCTTCCTCTGTGGAGGTGTTGATTTTTTTCATCTACTGCAAATAAATATTGCTTTTGTTCACATTTTCCAAATATACTGGTTGGTCTTGCTTCTCTGTTGCATAAAAGCAGAAGGGAAAACAAAATGTTTTGCTGCCAGAAATGTACTGTGGATCCATTTTGGAAATTAAAATGCCAGAGAGATTTAGCTCCTTTACAGGAAAATACCTGTTGTACCTTGGTTAAAAGTTTGTATCACCTATACCATATTGTAGTATATATTAATGTACTGCTTTAGAGGGAGTGCCTTGTTTCTTTTGAGTAATCTCATTAGAATGCTTAACTTTTCAAAAAAAACTAATTTCCATACAGAAATGAATATATTGTTAATACCTTCTAGTTAGTGTAACTTTGTATGTAAATAAAGCTGTTTGTAAATATGACTTTTCACTTATTTGGAGTCTTTTTTTTGTTTGTTTGTTTGTTTCAGGGTGCAGTCTCTGGGTCAGTTCAGGCTTCAGATCGACTTATGAAAGAACTCAGGGATATATATAGATCACAGAGTTATAAAACAGGTAAAATGCCTCAGATTGCCCTTCTTGAAATACACCTTAATAGAATTCTCTTGGCAAATACTTCTGCTAATCCTTCTGTGTTTTGTTGTCCTAAATATGTATGTGTGTGTATATCCATGTGTGCACATATATAAAAATACATAGATAAATTAGATATAATCTCATTACATAAAGTACTGCATTTGGGGAGAAAACAAGTCAGGGTATACATATCCTGTAAAATGTTCTTTCTTTTTGTCACATAAAGTCTTGTATGAGAATCAGTAGGATTGGTGTAACTATGAGAGTGCTCTTGGGGTGGATGACTACAAAGAACTCAAGATTACTCCTGTGGGACTTGAGTTTTCAGAACAACCTGAAAGGTGTGTAGGGCAGAGGCTTAAACCTCTCCTGGAGGGTAGTACTGCTCACAGGAACATGTTTGCTGTAGAGGGATTTGTGTTCAACAGCATCAGATTTACTTATTATGTATGACTTAACCTTAATTATGCTGCTGTTCCTTCTGTTATTTTGTGATGGTGTTAATCTGATCCTAAGCTCCATGTATTCCTTGGAACAATTATACAAATGACAGTAGAAAACAAGCTTGCATTTTAAATTGGTTAGAACAATGAACAGTGATTATCTTTAGGTGGGTGGTTGCCTGTTCCATGTGTTCCCTGTAGGGCCTGTATCTAAACCAGCTCAGCAAAGGAATCAGCTTATTGAATTGTCTGAGTGCTACCATGCAAGAAGTAGAAATTACATAGATTTTGGGCAAGTTTTATTCCTTTAGGTCTGCCAAAACGCCCCATTAGAGAGTCAATCTAAACTTTAATCATCTTTTACTCTTCTGAACTTCTCCCCAGATTTATTTCTAGTGGACTTAAATCTCCCTTGGCAACAGCATTTCAATCTTGTGTAAAAGGACAGAGGTGAAGAGCCGATAGGCTCCTGCTTTGATTTGTCGTATTTAACTCCTAGTAAATTGTTTTATGTGCTGAAGTACCTGCAGACAGTGGTAAAATGTCCAAATATAAATTTGAGTAGGTAACCCAGTGTACCTGGTGTTGATCTAACACAGCCCACTTCTTTTAGGCTTTATTGCAGCTGAGTGCTCGCCAGGGTGCCCTAATCACCAGCCATCCGGTGAGGAATGGATTAGTGGGTCTGGGGAAGAGCCTGGAAATAGATCTGTATTAAGTCACGAGGGATCCTTTCCTGCCCATTTGTGTTCTTCAGGGTTGTTTTTGTGATCAGAGCTAAGGTTGGCTGTAACAAACCCACCTGCCTGTAAAGGCTGTTGTGTGGAGCTTCCTCACGAGGTGGTACAGGAGCCCCTGCAGTTGGTGTAGTGTAGGGTGAGGATTCAGGCTGTTTAATAATGCCATTTCCTGGCCTTGGATTAATAACAACTCTTAACTAGTTGCAAAAGACTGAACTATGAGGAAAAGCAAACCTTGCTAAACTGTACAGAAAGCTGAGGCTCTAAAGTGTGAGTGTAGTAACTGATGGTAGCTTGTGACCTGGGAATATGTAAGAAGCCTGCAACTGGGTGCCTCACGTTCATCCCTAAAGCATGTTAATGAAGTAGTGTCAGGTGGAGGCTGGCACTATAAAGCTGGTGGTAATCCTGCTTTGAAACACTGTTCTACTGACACACTTACTAAAGTTTGCCAGTAAATGGTGCTGTTTGTTATAAAACTTACCTACATTCACTCCTTATGGCTTCACTTAGCCTGTGACCTTGAGCCAGTTTAAGGATGGGTTCTTTCCTGTGCACAAAACCTTTTATAGCCTAGTTCTGCCTTTTGTGAGACAACTGTCACCATGGGTATGGTAGGTAACTGGCTTTTTTTAATGTCATTTTTGTTCTGACTACTTGTTCCATGGACCATTTTTACCTTAATTTAATTTCTTCCAAAATTAAACACACAAAAGAAACCATTGTGAAACTTAAAGGTTCTGGTAATAGTTGCAAAGGAATTTAACACTCCTTTCGTTTTTTGTAACACAAGGCAGAAAGTCTAAGCCTGATTTTTAATTGGGAAAGGATCACTTTATTTAGTCTGTGCGAGGTTACATGTTTTTAGGACTGACAGTAGGACTATACTGGGAGTTCTGAAGGGAATGATATTTGTAGCAATAGTCCTTTACATTTTTTATTTTCTGTTAAAATGTTTTATAAAAAAAATAGTATTAAAACACACAGTGAGGTCTTCAACAGCAGAAGTGTATTGAGGGTAGTATCCATTTTAGAACTCAAGTTCCTTTATCAATTGAAATAATACTGTTGGAGTTCAGGCAAAAGATGACAAGCTTGCTCTCAACAGCAAAGTTCCTTATACCTGGGCAGTCTAGGTGAGGGACTGCCCTTAAAGAAACCAAAAATAACCTTCATATGAGGTAACAGAAGCAAAAAGCACTCCAGCAAATTTATTCTGCTGTGAATTAGACAGTTTCATTAACCTGTTTAGGTAATGCAAGTCCTGCAAAGCTCCAAATATGAAGTTGGAGATTCACAAGGGTCTTAATGTAATTTGGGAGATTGGGAAAGGAAGGGGAGGAACAAAGAATTTAGAGCTATCAAACAAAATCTTTTTATACCTTTAGCAGCTGTGTTGTTCATATGTAGTGATGTCCACTCACTCCTTTTATCCAAAGACTGTATAGGAGTTACTTCTAGATGTAGTAAAGTTGTCATAAATAATGCCTCTATTTTGGAATGAATTGTTTTTCTTCTTACCTTTTAATTACTTAATTTTTTGCTTGCATGGTTCTGTGTGCTTGTTTTTATTTGATCACCTCTACAGATGGCCTCTTAGAGGAATAAAACAAAAAAAACCTCTTTAAGCACAGGGAAAGTGTGTGTTTGAGAGGAACTTACCTTGATTCCTTTCCTACCTACCTGAAGGACCCCTCAGAAACTGATGTTAATCAGATAAATACTTCTTGACAGAAACTTTTTCCCTCTTACTGTCAAAACTAAGAAAAAAGCGTATGAGCTGCTTTCAAATAACGCCTCTTGATTATTAAGAAAACCCCAAACAACCCCCCCCTCAACTTTGCATGGTGTTGTTAAGAAGCTTCTGTCTGAAGACAGTGAGCCACCATGCTGCTGTTCATGAGGAGATACAGATACTATTTGTCTGAAAATTGGGGTGCTGGAGTGGCTGATGAAGCCTCCTGCTGTTGTGTTAAGGCTCGTGCTGGTCAGTGCTGGGCTGAGCCTGTCTCTCTGAAGAAGCCTTTTGCAGCCTCTGGTTTAGGTTCAGCACAGCTCTTAAGGGCAGCACAAGTCACTCCTTTGGGGAAGGTGGAGAAATGTGTGGACCTTGGAGCTGAAGGACCAGTCCATGAACTTCAGGGGTGATGGGAGGAATGGAAAGGAGTAGGGCTGGAGGCTTTAGTGAATGAACGAGCTACTGAAGTTCTCTTGTGATCTGTTGTTTAGGGTAGTGTCAGGATCCTCACTGTAACTCGTTCCATTGTTCCAACATAAGTATTTTATACTTATACTGGTGCCAAAGCTGCAATACTGAGAGGCTGCTTCTTCCAGCCTTTACTCCCATTTGGATGCAGGTGGAAGAAAATATTCTGGATACAACAGTGGAATAGATTCATCATGGATGGCAGTTGACAATGAGCAGAGTTCTGAACGTCAACTCTTGTTGTTACATCAGAGCAGTACAAATCGAAATTCTTATAATTCCCGACTTCCACTTACATGAAGGTCAATCAGAAAATAGCGTCCTTGGATCTGAGGAATTGGAAAAAGGTCTTAATAGCTCCTTCAGTTCATCCTGGGACAGAAATGTTGTGTCTCTGAACCAGCTGCTGATTAAAAGGGACATGGAGAGGACGCTGAGTGAGTGTTCAGGCCTACGTTGTTGTTCTAGACATAGAAAACTTTGCAGTAATGCTCTTGGCTGTGCTACCTTGTACACTCAGTAAGGAGAAACAGGCATGGGTTCTTTACCTTGTTTACTGAGCTTTGAAATGCTTTAGAAATAAGGGTGTCTGGACAGTTTGAAATGTCATCTGCACTCCAAGCACCGACGCTTCTAAGTTTCGACTGCAAGATGATCTCTATTCTGGAGTAATAAAACTCAGAAATAGATAATGCCATTCCTTGGAGGGAATGTGGTGACTGCACTGTGGTGGTTGTAGTGCCTTCAGAAATCCTTGGCAGGTTCCTGATTTGCATATGTTTTCCAAATAATTACATCAACAGCAGAGATGCTGTTAAATATTAGGCCAGGTAACAAGTTTTAATCCTAATGGTTTAGTGTATGTACATGAATAGTCTGTGAGGGATGAGATTAGACTTTAGAACATGACTGATACTATGTTCTAAATCTTGTCTAATGGGTAAAGATTTATGGCTTTTTCCTGGGCTGCTTGTGAATTTATGCAGAGAGGAAGCTTGAATATGCAAGCAAATGGCAGATAACTTCCCTCCTTCCCTGTGAGTGGAATGCACAACTATTGTGGAACATCCCTAAAACAAACAGACCACTGGAAATCACCAGCTGGCTCCCACAGACAGTGCACCTTTCTGGCTCCTTCAGTCAGCTGTTGGGAATGTGCTCCATCCCATGCAGTATCTTCTGGGTTTCTGCTCCATACCCTGTCCAGTGTCCTGTCCTGGTGTGCCAGTGCAGATGAGAGCCTGTGAAATCCAGTGCTGCACGCTCAGACTGTGTGTTAAGTGTCTTAAAAGCATGTTGGTCCTGTACTGGGTGTAAAATATACTGAGTAAAAAGCAAGCTGGACTTGTAGTTGTGGAAAGTCTGAAGGGGAAATGGTTAGGTGTCAAAAAGCCATTTTGATTAATTTTTTTTATGGAAGTGAAAAGACTCTTTTCCTTGGAGTTGCTCAGAAGTGCTTCTGCTATTTGTAGTAGAGGAAGAGTGTGCTGCAGTGACAGTATCTTACCCATTGCTTACATCTACTGACAGTATTTGTACTTAAATGCAAAGAATGTTTTTGCTACGTTTTACCTTGTAATGCTTTTAGTGCATAATTAATCCCATTAATATTTCTACAGGGATATATTCAGTGGAACTGGTAAATGACAGCTTGTATGAATGGCATGTTAAGCTCCTCAAGTAAGTTATTCAAGTTTTTTCATATTCTGAACAATCTTTTATTATTGCTGCAGAGATTCTTACTTTAGATAAATGAGAATCTCTAGCCAGAGCATATAAAATAGTGTGTTACAGTAGTAAAAGTAGTAATGGTAACTGTAGCCACTAAATAGTGGCTCTAATTCTGATATACAGGAATGTGTAGATATGGAACTGTAGTAACTGAGCTGGCAAAAAGACAAACCCTCTTTGCACTGCCAACGCAGTGTGTAATCCAGTAACTGTCATTACTGTTCAGTTCTCTAAAACTGCTCCAAAATATGAAACCTTAAATGATGAACGTTTTTTTTTTCTGGAGTTTTTAGATGGTTTTATTTTTAGTTGTTTTTAATGTCAAGAAAATGCAATTTTTAGTTTCATTCAAGATGTAAGAAGGAACAGAACTGTCTTAGTGTCATTAGTTCTTTATTTCTACAGTTGAACAGACATAGGACTGAAACTTTTAGATATCACACAAATGTGAGTTACATAATTATATATAATTTGTCTTCTCTCATCTCCTCGTACACACAATGAAAAGCAGTACATAACTCATCTTGTTGTGTCCATAGTCCAGTAGCTGTAATCCTAGAGGTGTTATATTGAAATTATTCCTGGTAAGAAGACCATCTGCCATCACACAAGGTACCCTGTAGAAAGGAAGAGCCTACCCAAACCATGCTGGGGGGCTGCAAAAGATGGCAGTGGATGAAAGAGCTTCCCTCAGCTGAGATCTGTCCTGGTGAATCAGGACAAGGACGTGGCTGTCCCAGCACAGTGGGGACCTGCCTGTAGGAGTTGCTGCTTTGTCCTAGGGCTGAGACTTGTACAGCTGGGCCACCAGCTGCTGAAACACAGGTTTTTTCCTCCTCAGTGTAATCAGGAGCCTGTGAATGTTTTGGAGCTGAAAATGGCAGGAATGACGTGTCAGAAAAATCTGTGTCATGTAACAGGAGGCCTTTTCTGTCGAGCACCTCTAACAAAGTGCTCAAACCACTGTGCAGTGGTTGGAAACCTCTGTTGGAGTGCTGTGAACAGGCCTCATTTTCTGCCTTCAAGAAAGAGCAAATGGGCTGGATGCAGCAAATGCTTTCCAGAATGACTAAGAGAATAAGTGTTGTGTTTGTTCATCACGGCAAAAAGTGTCTGAAAACAAACAAACTGTGCAGACTGGCCAAGGGGGTAAATGTCAGATAAAAGAGCCCATTTGAGTGAGGAGCAGCACTGTAACTAAAACGAGTCACACTGACAAGCTATGGCTGGAAACAAGAGGTTTCTAAGCACAGAAGATTTTTCTTCTGAACAACTTCAGACTGGAAGGATGGGGATAAACCGCCCAAGTAATTCTGGAATGGGATCTCATAACTTTGTGATTCCACCTGTAGCAGAGGATTGGCTTTAATAGCCTGTCAGTCCCTTTAATGTATGCTTTGGGCTTGCTGCAGGTGTTTTTTGAAAAGTCTCTCTTAAAAGCTGATGGGGTGTCAGAGCTTGGGTGGGATTGACCCAGTAGTGACTGAATTAATGGTCAGGCTGCTCATCAGCAGCGTTTTGCAACAAGCAGTTGTTGAAATTCTGCTGAGCAGAAGCTGCTGGATTTAGTATTTCTGCTGATGCAAATTACTTTTAACAGCTGATGCAGAACTACAATTACATATTCCATAAAGGGTTCACTAACTGTGTACTGAAAACTAGATGACTACAGTTCTCCTGTTAATTTTTTCCCCTTCTTTTTTTGAACATAGATTTCCAGTGAACTGAAGAGAATTAAAAGTGCTCTCTTCAAATAAACAGCTTATTTTGTGCTGTGTTTAAATAACACTTGATAGCATTGGGAATGTAGTGCATTGCAGCAAACTTTCAGGCTGACCTCATGGCAAAGTGTTTACTTTGTAAAAGGAGCAAGAATTTTCTAGAGTTCACCTTAGATTTCAGTTTGTAAACTGTAATTACATAAAGGAAGTCTTTGAGAAGAATTACTGTTTACAGGTAGTGAAAATGTTAACTGCATCCAGGATCTCCCCCCTGCTTCTCTTACAGGGTTGACCCTGATAGCCCACTGCATAGTGATCTTCAGTTCTTAAAAGAAAAAGAAGGTGTAGAATACATTTTACTCAACTTCTCTTTTAAGGTATGTGTCTGGGGGAAGAAATGCTGTGGTTAAATTTGAGGTTTACTATGGAAAGTGAGTGAAGTGACCCTCAGCTGTTACTTGGGTAAAAATGGATCTGTAGCATAAAAAAGGGGGGGGAAAGGATACTGCACTAAAGCTTCCCAGAAAATGCTTCTTTTTTTCCAGTACTGTGGAAAAGTGATTTTTGACAGAACTGAAAAATTGCACTATTTCAAATCTGATTTACCAGATAAGGCTATTGAAATACTTTCTGCTTAGGAAATAATTTCTTAACCTGTTGTTGTTTTTTTTTATTATTCTTTTCAGGATAACTTCCCTTTTGATCCTCCCTTTGTGCGAGTGGTGTCTCCTGTGCTCACAGGAGGGTAGGTTTGAGTTGCCCTACAGAAATTGTACTTCGTGGTAAAAGTGTCACAACTTGAAAACCTCTGTGCCTGCCCTACTGTTCCAGAACTGCCCTCTTTGTGGATGGTTGAGTTGGTGCTTTGAATGGGTCTTGATCCCTGTGTTGCCTTAAATTTGCTGTATAGTCCTAACTGGTTCTCTCTTGCTGTAACACTGCCATAAAGATTTTGTGTAAAAATCCTCGAATGCTAATCCAAACCCACTACATTTAATCGACACCATGCTCCAAATGTCATCTAAAGCATGTTTGAAGTGCTGTCTGTGGCACAGAAACTCTTATATATCCATGGAGAGAAGATTAAATTCACCTTCCAAGGCTTTTATGCATCTTCTGGTGACAGAAAATGATACCTGCATTTGAAAATGCAGTCTGTGATAGCTGATCCTGATTTGATTTTAATTGCTGTGTGTCTTTTTTGAATTCAAGCCATGGTTACTGCAGTTAAATAGCATTCATGAGGGGTGCTGCTGTCTCTAAACTAAACGAGCAGAACACCAGAAAACACTCTTTGGATTCTCATTTTGTTCTACTTGGACTTTGTAGAATGAAACAAAGAATAGCTTTTCAGCGGTCATTTCCCTCTGAATGGTTTGAATGCCTTGACCCTAGAGCAGACCACATTTTGGGAGTGGTCAATTCTACTCCCTCTGTCCAGGTTTTGTGGTGCTCAGGCCTTCTGCTGAGTCTCAGTCAGCACAATGCACCATGAAGTGTTATTGAGATTAGAAAGGAGTTTATAGGAAAAGAGCAAGCAAAGATCTGCTTTATCTCATTTGATTTATAGGTGCACCTGCATTGTTGGAAATTGTGTTAAATTTCTTTACAGAATTGACTGTTGTTGGCTTTTTTGAACTACCCATCACTCCTATGTAGCGTAGCCATAAAAAGCAACTTTTCTCTTTTCCAGTGTCTCTGAGCAGTTGTGCACACTAGATTAGTCACTGTTTTTAACCAAGTCTAGTTAGCAAACAATTTTTTTTTTGTCTCACAATGCTAATCTTCTTTGCTTAAGAGTATAACATGGCTCACTAGTTCCAATATATTTCTGGTTAAAGGGCATTTCAGCTTTATGAACAAGGAGTTTAACAAACGAGCTGGCAAGAGCTTAAAGTGCAGTGAGCAGTTGCATCTTTTTACTAACTGCTGATGTCAAATATATTTTCTTTCACCTTTGTTTCTAGGTATGTCCTAGGTGGAGGTGCATTATGCATGGAACTTCTTACTAAACAGGTGAATACGGGCTCTGTTATCTGGATAATAACAAAACATGCTTTAAAATAATAAAAATAGGTGTTTTCCCTGAGTTGAAGGATTCCTGTGTGGAATAAATTACACACTCCAAAGGGAGCATGGTGGAATAAACCTCAGTCCCACAAGATTTGCCTTGCAGATCTTGTGTGAGATCTTCTTTTCTACCTTGGATGGCTTACAAGAGATCTGAGGAAGAGGCAGAAGAAGTGAGAGCACATCACCTTTGCATTCTCAGAATTTCTGTGAGGAAGCCAGTGTGAAGAGGGAGTTCTGGGGAACAAGACACATTGTTTTCTTTTCCAGAAGTCTCTTCAACTGCACAGAGTCAGCTCTGGAGAAGGGAGGAATACAGGAGATTCCAGGCATAGGTTATTCTTGTGTAGACAGAGTGATTTTAAATAAGTAAATGAATGAAGTAACTATCTGCAGGCTCTGGCAGAAGCTCTTGTGAGCACTGGAAGGTAGAGCAATGGCAGAGATGAGCAATAGTAGTCGTGGGAGCAAAATTCTCACAGCTCAATGAATGACTTCATTAGATATCAGTCTTTTCTGCTTCTTGGAACAAGAAGTTGTAATTTCTGTTGTGATGTTGCAGAAAATGTGTAAGTGCTGTAGGAATGGAACTTTTTTGTTTCTGTCTTGCTGTATTTTGGAAATGTGTGATTCAGCCTTTTCATTTTCCTTACAAGTTCTTAGTACTAATACTGTGTATCATTTTACAGATTTTCTGTGGAAAATAAAAGTTAACTGAAAACAAGTAGTTAAAAGTAAAACTGGAGTTCAGAAAAAAAAAATAATCCCAAAGCACACATTCCAAAATAGATTTACAGTGTGAGCACAAGAAACAATTACATGTTACATGTTAATATTCCCTTCCTCCTCCAGGGCTGGAGCAGTGCCTACTCAATAGAATCAGTCATCATGCAGATCAATGCCACTTTAGTCAAAGGAAAAGCCAGAGTACAGTTTGGAGCCAATAAGGTAAATGTGCTGTTTATCAATTACACAAATCACTGTTAGGCTTCCATTTCTTTGTTGACTTGCACAGATGTTTAATGACAGAATTGTCATTGCAAATATATTTGCATTTTGAGTTGTCTTGATGTCTAGTGCATGTGTATGAGTGTTTTAGAGGCAATTAAGAGTTTGTTATGTAATTATGAGCATATGAGTTAGATAAAACCTTGGGATGGGCAGGGGTTTTAAGTAGTTAGACTTTACTATCCTTGCATTGGCAAGGGAGGGAGGGAAGGAGGATCAGAATTGGGAGGTTTTGGATATTCTGGCTCTGAGAAGGGCTGTAGATGACAGCCAGGATTACATACATTCATGGTAAGAAGTTCTCCTATTGCTGGAGAGACCTGCAAAGTTTTATGAGAAAGGGAAAAATAATAACATGCAAATACGTCAAAGCTCACCATTCAGCATTAATTGAAAGCACAATTCAGTTCAAGTGTGCATGCTGGTAACAGACCGTAACTTAAAAGACTGTGAAGAATTAAATGCTGCTTTCAAATTATGTTTTAATTTTTAAGACAGCAAAATTGTCGCTTGGGTGTCTGTTAAGTACCAGTTCAGGTAAGATGTAAAAGTTTATGATCACAATTCTGCCTAACCCAGCTGAGCAGGACAGAGTTATGGCAGGGATTGCCTGAAGCCTTCTGTTCTGCTCGCACATGCTTCTGACTCACCCCAGGTTCTGAACCTTCTGACAGGAGGGGCCTTCCCAGCAGCAGGGCTCTACAAAATACTGTCATTATGACAGAGAAGTGAGAAAATAAGGATATTTGTCTTGACAACCTTGTACTGGAAAGCCAGAAATGTTCCAACATTGTGCATGGGTTTTATTTGTAAGCCCGCTGTAGAGTTTCCTTGTAGAAGAACTGTTCTTAAGTCTTCCATGTCTAGATGCAGGTTTTTATGTTGGTTTTTTTTCTCCTTTCAGAATCAATATAATCTAGCAAGAGCACAGCAGTCCTATAAGTCACTAGTACAAATCCATGAGAAAAATGGTATGTATATTCTTGTGACTTTGTCCTTGTCTCCAGAGCACCCTGGGAACTGGTGTTTGGCCACAGAGAAACTGGAAGTGACAGAGTGTCTTATGTTGGCTTGGGAAGACCATAAATGGTGTTTCCTTCTCCTCTTGCACTAGGAAAACAAGAGTGCTTAAAGGAACTTGACTGCAATCATTGCAACTTCTCCAGTTTGCATGAAATGTTTCCACGTGTTTCTACTGTTTCTTGAAAGGCAGCTCCATTTTGTTTTCAGCCAGCTGGTCTAGGAACTTCGTTGTTACTGTAGCTTTAAAAGGGACTTATTTATTAGTGAAATATCTACTGGGAGCTTGTCCCTTCCTTGAAAGTCTTTGTTTCAACGTGGCAAGACCTTAGTGCAGTAATCATTATGGAAGAGATAAAATGGAAAGAAAGACCTGAGACTAAAAAAATACAAGAAGTCCAAGTGAGATGTCCTGGATGGAAAACTCTACAACAGAATAGGAAGACACCTGTGGTTTTGTTTGTTTGTTTGTTTTTTTGTTTTACCCTGTTTTTACCCTCTG